TCATCAAATTTCAGACATTTTTGGCCATTATTTCTTCAAATATTTTTTCTTCTCCATTTTTACTCTCCTACTGCTTTGGGACTTCAATTAAATATGATAGAACATCTTATATTATCCCACAGGTCACTGAAGGTCTATTCAAATTTTTGTTTAAAATTTTTTTCTCAGGCAGTCCAGGTGGCTCAGCAGTTTAGTGCTGCCTTCAGCCCAGGGTGTGATCCTGAAGACCCGGGATTGAGTCCCACGTCAGGCTCCCTACATAGATCCTGATTCTCCCTCTGCCTGTGACTCTGCCCCCCCCCTCTCTCTGTGTGTGTCTCATGAATAAATAAATAAAATTTAAAAAATAAAAATAATTTTTTTTCTGTCCTCGTCAGTTTGGATAATTTCTATTGATCTGTCTTCAAGGTGTGATGAAGCTCATTTCGGATATTGTAATTTTTAGTTCTAGAATTTTTATCTGGTTCTTTTTTATAGTTTTCATTTATCTTCTGAGATATCTTATTGGTTCACTCATTATGGCCGAATTTCCTTGGAATTAGTAGTTGACAATTTTTTTACTCAAAGAGCCAGAAAGCAAATATTTTCAGCTAACAGACCAAATAGTCTCTGTTGCAACCACTCAACTCTGCCTTTATAGCACAAAAGCAGCCACAAACAAAACATAAATGAATGAGTATGGGTTTGTTCCCATAAAACTTTCTTTATAAAAATAAATGGCAGCTAGTTGTCTGCTAATTCCAAAATCTTGGTCATTTTAGGATCTGTTCCAATTGATTCCTTTTTACAAATAGGTCACATTTTCCTATTTCTTTACATGTTCAGAATTTTAAAAACTTGCCAGATATTATGAATTACACATTTTGGAGAGTCTGGAATATGTTGTCTTCCTTTAAGAGGTATTGAACTCTGTTCTTACAGGCAGTTAAATTGCTGGTTCCTCCTCCTATCTGTCAAGTTTGGTTTTAGTCATTATAAAGGTGGGTCTGTTTGGGGGAGTATCCAAATTCCAGCCATGCCAGCATCCTAGAACTCTGATTTTTTCCCTCCTCAGGTCAGTGAGACCATGGCTCTGCTTGGGTTCCACTTTGGTTCTACCTGGCAGGAAAGTGGCCATGAAGGAATCCATGGCAATGGTAGGGTTCACTTCATGTTTCCCTCTTCTCGAATCATAACAGACATTGCTACCAAATGCCTGAAAACACTTTTTGCACATTTTGTCTTGTTTTAAAGTTGTTTTCAGCAGGGAGGGAGGGTAAGTTTTGGTACCAAAATTCTGTCATGGCTGGAAGCAGAAGTCCTCATTGCGTTTTTTTCTTCCCTTCAATTATTTTATATAGCTCAGGGAATGTCCATTGCTCATAAGTTGCTCCTTTTTAAAAATTTGACTTTATGGATTAAGGTAATTTTAGGTTAACAACAAAACCAAACAAAAGCTACAGAGATTCTTCATATACTCCTGATTTCATTCATGCATAGCTTCCCACATTATCATATTATCAACATCCCCCACCAGGTGGTACATTTGTTTCAGTGATGAACCTACATTAAGACATCATTATCACCCAGAGTCCACAGTTTACATTAGGCTTCACTCTTGGTGTTGCACATTATAAGGGTTTGGACAAATGTTATAGTGACATATATCCACCATTATAGTAACCTACAGAGTATTTTCACTGTCTCAAAAATCCTTTTACTCTGCCTATTATTCATCTTTCCTTCCTCCCTAACACTTGGCAAACAGGATCTTTTTACTGTCTCTATATTTTTGTCTTTTCCAGAGTGTCATATATTTGGGATAACACAGTATGTAGCATTTGAAATTGGCTTCATTGACTCAGGAATATGCATTTAAGTTTCCTCCATGTCTTTTCATGGCTTGATAGCTCACTTCTTTTTAGCACTGAATATTTTATTGTCTGGATGAACCACAGTTTACTTATCCATTCACCTACTGAAAGACAGCTAAACATAGCTTCCAAGTTTTGGCAATTATGAATAAAGCTACTAAAAACATCTGTGTGCAGATTTTTGTGTAGACATAACTTTTCGACTTCTTTGGGTAAATACCAAAAAGTGTGATTGCTGGATTGTACAGCAAGAGTGTGTTTAGTCTTGTAAGAAATTGTAAAACCCTCTTCCAAATAGGCTGTGCCATTTTGCATTCCCACCAGCAATGTATGAATGTCCCTGTTGCTCCACATCCTTGCCAGCATTTGGTGTTCTGGTTCTTGGCCATTTTAAAAGGTATGTAGTGGTATCTTGTTGTTGTTTAGTTTGCACTTCCCTGATACCATATGACGTGGAGTATCTTTTCATGTGCTCATTTGCCATCTATATATCTTCTTTGGTGAGGTAGCTGTTCGAGTCTTTGGTCTGTTTTAAAAACCAGGTTGTTGGTGCCAGGCCTGGGTGGCTCAGTCAGTTAAAGCATCTGTCTTCAGCTTGTGTCCTTATCCAGGGGTCCTGGGATCAAGCCCCACATTGGACTCTGCTCAGTGAGGAGTGTGATTCTCTGTCTCCCTCTGCCCCTCCCCCCTGTATTCTCCTGTGCTCTCTCTTTCTCAAATAAATATATAAAATATTTTAAAACATTAATTTTAAAAATCAGATTGTTCACTTTCTTATTGAGATTCAATACTTCTTTGTATACTTTAGATAATAGCCCTTTAGCATATATACCTTTTGCAAATATTTTCTCCCTGTCTGTGGCTTGTTTTCACTGCCTTGGCAATGTCTTTTGAGAGCAGACATTTTTTTCTTTTAATGAGGTTCACCTTCTCAGGTCTTTCTTTCACATATTGTGCCTTTGGTGGGGGTGCATATAAAAAGTAATCATTAAATCCAAGGTCATCTAGACTTCTCTGATCTTCTAAAAGTTTTATAGTTTTATGTTTTACATTTAGGTCTGTGATCCATTTTGAGTTAATTTTTGCGAAGGATGTAAAGTCTGTGTCTGGATCCATTCCTTTCCATGTACATACCCTGTTGTTCCAGAACCATTTAATGAAAGGACTCCACTTGCTCCATGGTATTGCCTTTGGTTCCTTGCCAAAGATCTGTGACTATACTCATCTGGGTCTATTTCAGGACTTTCTCTTCTGTTACATTGGTCTATTTGTTTATTCTTTCACCAATACCACATTGTTTTGATTACAATCAAATCAATGATAGTAAATCTTGAAGTCGGGTAGTAGTGTAAGTCCTTCAACTTTGTTCTTCTTCAATATTGTGTTGGCTATTCTGGATTTTTTCCCCTTCATATAAACTTTAGAATCATCTTAGAATCAGAATTAACATCACACAATAAGTTACTGGGAGTTTTATTGGAAATGCATTAAATCTATAGATCAGGGATGCCTAGGTGACTCAGAGGTTGAGTGTCTGCTTTTGGCTCAAGACCTGATCCCAGGGATCCCTGGGTGGCGCAGCAGTTTAGCGCCTGCCTTTGGCCCAGGGCGCGATCCTGGAGACCGGGGATCGAATCCCACGTCGGGCTCCCGGTGCATGGAGCCTGCTTCTCCCTCTGCCTGTGTCTCTGCCTCTCTCTCTCTCTCACTGTGTGCCTATCATAAATAAATTAAAAAAATCTTTAAAAAAAAAAAAAGACCTGATCCCAGGGTCTGGGGATCAAGTCCTGCATCAGGCTTCCCGCAGGGAGCCTGCTTCTCTCTCTGCCCATGTCTCTGCCTCTCTTTCTGTGTCTCTCATTAATATATATAAATTTTTTTTAAATCTGTAGATCATGTTGACAGGAAGTAATATAGTGACAATATTGAATCTTCCTATCCATGAACGTGAAATATCTGTCCATTTATTGAGTTATTTGATTACTTTTGTCAGAGTTTTGTAGTCTTCCTCATACTGTCCTTATAGATATGTTGTTATAGTTATACCAAAGCACTTTATTGTGGTGCTGCTAATAGAAATGGTATTGTGTTATTAAGGTCAATTTCCATTTGTTCTGTGCTGGTATGTAGCAAAGCAATTGACTTTTGTATATTAGCTTTGTATCCTGTAACCGTGCTAAAATTGCTTATTAGTGCCACAAGGGTTTTTGTCTTTTCTTTCAGACTGTCTATGTAGACAATCATGTCATCTGCAGAAAACCAAAAAGTTTTATTTCTTCCTCATCTGTACGTCTTTTATTTCCTTTTCTTTTCTAATTGCATTAGCTAGGACTTCTAGCACCATGTTGAAAAGTGGTGATGAGAGGGAAGGAATATCCTTGCTTTGTTCTTTAATTTTTTTATTATTATGCATATCTTGTCTTAGCAATAGGTTTACCTTCTGATACTTAAAACATAGGTGGGTACTGATATACAAGTATCAGTGAGTGGTACTGAGGATATGGGCTGTAGAGAGAGATGACCTTTTGCAGAAGGATAAGGTTGAAGGTAAAATTCAGCCCAGCCTCCATCTGAGGTACCATTCTCCTTTCCTGGACAGAGGAAAAAAGGAAGGAAGAAGAACAGGCATCTATTCTGTGTCTATTATGTATGGGGTGCTATGCAAGTTACCTTTGTATGTTATTTCATACAATCTTTAAAACAAACAATAAAATGATGATGATTTTTATTCCCAGTTTACAGAAAAAGTGGCCAAAACTCAGGTAAGTAAAAGCAATGACACTATATACCTAGTAAGCTGGTAGAGCTAGTATCTAGAAGCCCATTTTTCTCCCCTTTCCACCATGCTACCTTTCTTGCCTTATTATGATGATTATATGATTACCAGTATTTTATTGAGTATATATGTTAAATATCCCTTTACAGTCACTGGCCCTTTGAGCCATTCAAATTATTTCTATTTAGTTCCTTCCTGGTTAGAGATGGAGTGAGCTGTCTACACTCTCCTCATCTTCTGTTATTCAGGAGATCAGGAGTATCCTGAGTCTTGGATGAGGGTAGCCTTCAGTATGGCAAGATGCTGGGCACAGTGTAAGGACAGAGAGAGTGATGACTAATAATCAATCGGTAGACTATCATCTGCGAGCAATGAGTGAAGCAACCAGCCTGGATTTGGTGCCTATACTGGTGAATGGAGAGGCTGTCAGTGCTTTCTCAGGTTTTTCTGTTTCCTGTGATCCTTCCTATCCACTTTCTTTATCCAACCTGTGGCTTTTCCCTAAAAATCTAATCTCTTGAAGCAGGACTTATTGCAAGATACACAATGGATTCATTTTTCTCATTTGAGCAGTGCCTTTCCACCCGCCTTAATACTTGGGCATTTAGCCACTATTTCAGGTGTCCTTGGTGGGAAACCAGAGTCCATTTTGGAAGGGGCTGAGAAAAGGTCAAGTCTTTGTGGTATGAGAAGGAACTTGGTAAAGTCAGAAATGGGTAGGTGGGTGAAAAATACACATTTCTTACTTACATCCAGACTTTGGGTGAAGCACTTTACATATATTTCTCAAAAAAGCAAAGCAAAGCAAAGAATTTATTATAGAAATTCTGACAATCCTTATTTCCTGAAAAGTATTTCTCACAGATGCATGTTGTCCCTCAATTAAACTTACATGGCTTTCCTCTCTTCCTTTTCTCATATCATTTGGTCCTCTTCTCTCTTTCCATACTTGCTCAGCATGAGGCATATTCAAAATAAAACCTCATTCATTTCTATTCATTTAGTTTGAATTATATTGTAATTTGGACAGGAACTTGATTGAAGTCAAATTTTGAACGATTTCTGATACAAAAGTTTCTAAAGGACAATGGCAACAGCCTAGGGTTCTCTCTGGGAAAATGTGGGGTACCCATAAACCTTTTAAATAAAGTGAAGAAATGTGTGATGAAATCATTACATGGTTAAGTATGTGAGTGTGTGACTGGAACTTCCTGAATTCCTAACATGCCTCTTTTTCTTTGCAGACCTCTGTGATGATGACCCACCAAACCTCAAACACGCCACATTCAAAGCTCTCACATACAAGACGGGCACGGTGTTAAATTGTGACTGTGAGAGGGGCTTCCGCAGAATAAGCAGCTACATGCGTTGTACAGGAAACTCTAGCCATGCTTCCTGGGAAAACAAATGTCAATGCAAAAGTATATGTAAGTGTTTCCTTTTGTTTACCGAGGGAAATAGGAGAACACTAACAAAGAGGGAAAGAGCTTCAGCTTTTGTTCACTCAGCCCTATAGATGAAAACTGGGCAGCCCAAACTCTACAATAACCCATCTTAGTGGTTTCTGGAAAATAATTCACTAAACAAATGTTTAAGAAATACTTCCCAGTTCCAAGGAGTGATCTAGGCACTCGGGATACCCAGCACTCAAAGAACTTATATTCTGCAGGGAAAGAGGGTACAGATGTTATACTAATAATTACTGAACAATTCGAAAATAAGTCTAATTCACGGCAATGTGAATGCACTTATTGACACTAAAGTATACATTAAAATGATTAATATTGTTTTACACTACATATATCTTATCAAAAATTTTTAGAACTAAAAATTAAAAAGAATAGTCAGAATGCACCTATATAAAGAATAAGAAAAATAATAGCAACTCCAGTGAGTATCTACCTGTAGGGCTGTATTAACTCTTTTGCATTTTTGCTTTCCAAAGCTCACATCTCATACCACCCGTATGCTGACTGGTGACATAGACCTATCCTAACACTACCTCTAGCAACACGGCAGCGTGAAATCCCAACAACTCCCCATGGCTCCTCTGTCCCCTCTCCTCTTTAGTGTCCATCTCCACAACCCTAAGGAAGAAGCTCTGGGCAGAAAAGTGGAGGCAGTGGGTGAGGCATTTCCTTCCCTGATGAGAATAAAAAGGTAAAGGAAGCTCATGCTACTGAATTCCAGAGTCCTTCCTATTACCGAAATTTTCACTCTGGCTGCCATGGGCTCTTTCAGGCATTTCTTTGGAGGTAAATATATGGTCAAGCAGGAAGTATTGTCAGTTCAGTGTCTTCCCAGCCCAGTGTCAGGAACTGACATGCCAGAGCATGAGGAATATTCCCCTCAAACACCCCACTGTCCCCCAAATATTGCTGTCTCTTGTTCCAGTCCTACAAGACCCTGGCTGGGCTTGAGAAAATCAAGAAGAATAACAAGCCCATAGACAGGTCAGTCTGGTATGTGGCAAGACCCCAAATCTGCATTAGGGAAGCTGAAAGGAAGAGAAGGCTATTCCTTTCAAATTTCTTCATTTCTGGATTTCAAAACCTGGCTTGAGAGCCCCGTGGCCCTCAATGTTGAATGTGATTGTAATCGGTGATGGACTAAGTGTCCTGAACCTCATCGTTGCTGGTGAGGCTGAGCAGAGAAGGCCACTTGCTCAGAGACTGTGGGTGGGTCACCTCGCTGGAGTGGAATGTTGAGGGAATGACCCCCGACAGGCTTTCGAAACCTAAGTTGATCTACTTTTGCTGGTGTATGCTCTTCTTTGAGTCCTGAAAGCCCATATCTCTACCAGGTTTTCTGTCCACTCTGTGATTGATAATGGAACACGGTGAAACGTGGTGGGTCCATTTGTCCTTTGTTTCTTACCTCTGGAGATGGTGTCTGGGGGCCACCGTGAGTTTTGTTTCAGCCATGCCATGCATGGACTCTAAGGTCTGGAGATGGTTGCTCTGCTGAAGCACCCTGTTGCCTCTTTCCCCAGCAGAGCCTCCCCAGACTCTCAGCTAGAATCCCAAGCCCCTTGTGGCAATGCCCATACTCAACTCCTTTGCCAAAGTCTTCATGGTAGAGAGGAGTGTGGTAGGAGGTTTCTCTTGTCCTTGCTTTAAGATTGAGTCCCTTCAACTTATAGATTAACTGCTTTAGGGAGGTAAGGGGAGGGAGTGGGTTCTGTGTCACCTCATTCCTCACTGCTATCACGCAAACACCCACGCACCAGGGTGGCAGGTGGATGGCCAGAATGGAGTCCCTTTTGGGGAGACACACAAACACCAGAAAAATCTTTCAGTTCTTTTAGAAACATGTTGTAGGCCACACACATCATGCACAAGAATACTGTCAGGCCAGTGCTGGGCCAGGTGTGAACAGGTGCTGCTGAGAGCACCCTAAGGGCAGGGTGTGGCATGGTTCCTCTTTGTAATTCCTGCACCCCGCTACTGCCTGGCATGTCACAGGCAGTGGAAAGGCACTCTTTTCGAATAAAAATGAGTACACAGAGAGGTTTTCTATTTTAAGCATTTGTGAAGTTGCTTGCTTCATTCTATCCATATTCTCTAGCCCCAGAGAACAGAAAAGGAAAAGTTACCACTAAACCTGAGCAACAGAAGGGAGAAAACCCCACAGAAATGCAGAGCCAAACACCGCCCATGGACGAAGTTGACCTTGTAGGTAAGAGGTGAAGCTGCACGGCTGTCTGGCTGACTCCTAAGGGCCAACCCTTCTCTTGTAGGGATATTGTGTGTTCCGCAAAGTAGGAAAGTCTGTCCCACTATCCTCTTCTTTAAGGATATCAGGTAAACAGGAACTATTGTGTCATGGTTGTAGGCTGTAGTACAGCTCAGCATTTCAAGCCAACCTGGGCTCTGGACTTCCTTGGGTTTGGGAGCTGGCGGGATAGAATTGAGCTCAATTCAATTCACGTGAACTGAATTCCAAGGCATATATTGGGACTAACTATGCCCAGCACCATAGACAACTGTCTCTGCCCTCGAGGAAATGCTTGGTTTCACCCTTAAATACAAGACAATCAACACCAGCAAAGCAATTTACTTAAAAATGTTTCTGATAAACAGGGCCCTAAACTACGCTGTGCCATGTCAGTGAGTATGAAAGCTGCAGACAAGCACCTCCTAGCTAGTGGGTTGTGGGTGAGTGAGCACCGTGGCCACCCAGCTGCTGCCGTGGCTCTAAAATGAATCACGTTGAAGTCAGGTCCTCACATCAGGAAGAAATAGAGCCCGTTAGGAAAACCTGAGCTTTGGGGGACCCACTCACCTTTATAGGACCCTATTGTCCTATGTTAATTTTACTACCTTACCAAAAAACTTTACCATCTTGTATATAATTTCTTTTGAATCCCACAACCCAGTGAGTCAGGGAGCAGGATCATGACTTCGATTTACTGAAGAAAATGAGACACAGAGAGGTTTAAAAGACTTGGCTAAACTTGCATTTAGGAGTAAGACCTCAGGTCTCCTGAAATATACGAAGGATCTTTCTACTGATTACTTGTTTCAGATTAATTTTAATTTATTTGCAGCTTCCATTATTAAAAAAAAAAAGACCAATCCAGGGGCACTGTTTGCAATATGATGTTTTTATGTTGTACCTCCAACCGTGGGCTGACTGGCATTTCAAAACACATTCAATTGTTTGTTTTTCTCTCTTTTTCCCATATTCCTCTGAACAGTTATTTCAAAGTTTCTCAGAAGGTCAATGTTTGTTGTCCTTATTCAAGAGACAACCACTGGTTCTGGCCACAGATCTTCTTAACAGGATGTTTTCATTTGAAAGAAGCAAGCGTAATTTAAACAGGTTCAGACCACTATGGATTTTATTGGCTGTAAAGGAAATTTTATTCTGAGACGAAAACACCAGTTCAGTCATGATTTGCAAGGTGTTACACTAGAGCAAACCGCTTGGGGCAGGACCACTCTCAGTTTCCCATTGGAGCTTCCGTCTGGAGCAGGGGGGTTATATGTAAGATACTTTGAAGGTCATATTGGGTATTCGGATCGTGGAAGGTCTGGAGGGTCAGAGCATAAGTGTAGCCTCATGTGTCTGGGGAGACAGGGTACATGTGGTTCCATATATCCAGATTTGGGGTGGGGTAGGGAATCCTGAAAATATATCAGAGCAGGACATGATCACTGGGGTGAAAGGCCAGTCAGGCTTGGGTTTTCGTTGGGCGAGTGAGGGCACGGGGAATTTTCAGAGGTCGTGGCAGGGCTCACATTGAGCAGACGTTAGGTGTGGCTTGAAGAAAGATCAGGTTCCGTTTGCCCGAGATTCTCTCAGCCCTTCCTTCCTTCTGGCTTTGGCTTTATCTCCAGGCCTTCAGCCATGGCCCCAATATGACCAGCAGCCACCCACCCGAGGACGTGCCTCCTCACTTAGCAGTGGAGACCCAGTGTGGGCTTTGAATTTCATGGGCCCCAATGGGCTTGAGCCTACCCTTATCCCTCCACTTGAGACCCCTTCCCACAGCTGTCCACTTATGAGAACCCTCGCCATCACCACAGGCAACTGATGGTTCCTCTGTGTCCCCACAGCAACTGTCTGTTCCTCAGAGATAACACTCAGCGCATTCTGTCTCCAGATGTCTTCCTCATTCAATGGATTATCCACTCCCGCAGGAGTGACGGGGTCTGTGTGCCTTCCCACAGAGTGCTTGGCAAAGTTCCTGACACACGGACGTTCTCAATACATATTGGTTGAATAAAAGAAAGAATGAATGAGGGGACAAAACAATAAGAACCCAGGCCCAGCCTCTAGGAAGAGGCAACTCGATTCACTCAGAGCTTCCTTCCCCTCTTCCAGGTCACTGCAGGGAGCCTCCTCCCTGGGAACATGAAAACTCCAAGAGAATTTACCACTTTGTAGTGGGGCAGACGCTTCACTATCAGTGCATGCAGGGATTCACAGCCCTCCACAGAGGTCCTGCCAAGAGCGTCTGCAAAACCATCTTTGGGAAGACCAGATGGACGCAGCCCCCGCTCAAATGCATAAGTGAAAGTCAGTTTCCAGGTATGGGGGCACCTTCTGAATCCACCACACTGCTTTTTCCATCGGGCTGACCAGAGTAGAATTCCTGACCCATCAGCTATGTGACTGCGGGCAAACCACTTCATCTCTGTGGGCCTCTGTCTTCTCTCATACTAGAAAGTTGACTGGACAAACTAGGGTCTCTACCACCTAAGGTCCCCTGCACCCTGCATGAGAACAAATAGCACAAGGTGGAGGAGGAAGAAAGATCTCTCGAGTGTTCTAAAGCCCCCCAGATGCTCAGATGCTACCTCACTAGTGATAACGCTGCCCCTTCCCAGCTGATCCTAAAATTCGGCTTCTTCTAAACTACCAAGACTTCCTCTCATTCCGGCCACCCGCATGCTTCTAATTTGCTGCTATGCGACATAAACTCATTATTTGTACAGTGCTCCACTGTTAGCATGCTCCCTCTCCTTGTGTAATTCCCACCTGAGCTTTGATAAAAGTGCAGGGAAGGGGCTTACTGAAGCACACATGCACGCACACACACACTCATTCGCATGTATGGACAACGCACCTATGTTGAGGGTTTCATTCTGAAAGCGTACTACCATTTTTATAATAGAAAACCGCTCACATTTAAAAATAAGTGTTACAGGTTTCTTAGCTCACCACCTGTTGGTTCTTAACCCTTCTGGGAGTTTCCCTGGGTGGAATCTGAAACCACCCCCTACAGGCGGAGGAGCGCAGGGAGAGACCAAAGGGAGAGGCAGGCCACCGCTGGTAGGTGGCGGTTTTAATAAGCAAAGGGAACTTACTTATGAGGCTCGTGTTGGGTGGCAGCAAGACGAAAGGAGCCCCGCACTCGCCTGCCAGATCCTAACTGGGCTGAGTCACATACACCCTGCAGGTGCTCTCCCCACCACATCACTAACTCAAGGCTGTGTCCTTGGAGCAGCCCCTGGGAGCAGGAAAGGCAAGCGGGACCCACATTCCAAGGACAGGGGACGAGGGGAGGAGCCTCTGAGTGCCTGGGTCCACCCTGAGTGTCAGCTGGCATGTGTGTCTTTTTTTATTTTTTAAGATTTTATCTATTTATTCATGAGAGACACAGACAGAGAGAGAGAGGCAGAGACACAGGCAGAGGGAGAAGCAGGCTCCCTGCGGGGAGCCCGATGCGGGACTCAATCCCGGGTCCTCAGGATCAGGCCCTGGGCTGAAGGCGGCGTAAACCGCTGGGCCACCCAGGCTGCCCTGAGTGTGTGTCTTTTTGATGACATTCCCCAACACCACCGCTTCCTGCACCCCATGTCCTCCTCTGGGGCTCTTTGGGGGCCGCTGTGCTTCCTTCCCACAGCGTGCCAGGGTGTGTGTGCTTCCCTGTGAAAGGGCGGCAAGGCAGGGCAGTGTCCTGGGTAACTGGACGCCCCCACAGGGACGGGGAACCTGTCCTTCTGTGCCTTCCTACTTCCTCCCAGGTCTCCCTGGCATTTGTGTGACCTGTCTCTGAGCCACAGGTGGAAACCAGGGCGGAATAGGAGGCTCAGGGAGACGTGGCTCAGGACTCCAGAGCCAGGATCAGGGTCACAGTTCCCTCTCACCCAGCTTTGCGGGCAAGGTGACCCCTGATGGGGAGCCACACGGTGCAGGGGCCTCTGACAACGTGACTCGCTGAGTGTGTGTGGGGTCGGCCGAGGCGGGCAGGCCGGGGTGCACTGAGACCCACGTCCCCCTCCGTCATCACTCCCTGTCTCCCCCAGATGACGAAGAGCTTCAAGCAAGCACTGATGCTCCTGCCAGGAGGGACACTTCGTCTCCCTTCATAACGACAAGTACTCCAGGTAAGGCTACAGTCTCTGGCCCTGAAGCCATCATGCAGGGGACCAAGCGGTTTGCCTCGCGGAGCCAGGCCCGCAGCTGCGTCAGGGATGGGCAGGCCCAGCCGACCTCCCGGCCCTCACACGTGTCAAAAGCGGGGCACCTGGGTGGCTCAGTCAGTTGGGCGACTGACTCTTGGTTTCCGCTCAGGTCTTGATCTCAGGGTCGTGAGATCGAGCCCCGTGTGGCCTCCATGTTCAGTGCAGAGGCTGCTTATGTTTCTCTCTCTCCCTCTGCCCTCCCTTCCCCCCCGCTCACTCTCTTTCTCAAACAAGTAAGTTTTTTTATTTTTTAAAAAAAAAAGAACACAAAACATGTCAAAAGCAAGCGTCCAAAAGAGGAGAAGCCAGGCTGAGTGGTCATCAGCACACACCGAGCATCTTCTCTTCTCTTCCGCACAGATTTCCACAAACACACAGAAGTGGCTACAACCATGGAGTCGTTCATATTCACAACCGAGTATCAGATTGCAGGTGGGTCGGGGGCGCTTCCCCTGCTGACGACACCCAGACAGACTGGGGGTATGTTGCTGGCTGGGCCGGCGGGCTGGTGGGGTGGTTGGTGAGTTAAAAATGCCCCCTCCTTACATTGCGTAGTAGTTACACAATAGGAGACAAATCCGGTGTTAGCCACACGGGCTCACAGTGGCTCCTAGAGTCAGCGGGGTGGGCCACCTCAAACGAGCCCCAGGAAGCTCCTCCTGAACCAATCCTAAATGACAAGGTATCCCATAAACACTACAGGTGTTCTCTGGGAGGAAAGGAAAACAGGCTTAGAGGGTTAGAGAAAACTCCCGAGCCCCTCGAAACCGGGAGCTGAGGGTGGGGGCCCGGGAGGTGCCAGTGGAGGCCGCACACTTCCAGGCAGAGGGTAGGTCCTGGGGAGCTGGTAGACAGCACGGCAACCACGGTCACCACTGCCGTCTGGTGAACTGGCAGTTTGCCACGGGAGTGTTCCCACTGCAAAGAGAAATGGCGAGTAGGAGGTGTGCTGGTAGTCCTGCTTGGATATGTGTTCACAACAGCTCAGGGCCCCGTGTGCCCTAAACCTCTGCAGTTTGCACGTCGGGCCAGGGCGCCAACTCCATGTCACTGGAGTGTGTGCGGGGAGGCCCACGGCAAGCTGGGCGGCCAGCGGCTCGGGGACCAGAGGCCCGCAGCTCCGGGGATGTGGGGACGCTTCCAGGGGACGCTGTGTGGCATCTATCCTTGTACTTCAATGCTCCTCTGACGCATCGCAGGCCACCGCAGCCTCCTTGCCTGAGGCCCCTGAACCTTTCTGAAGAGCGTGCAGGTCAGGTCACTTCCCTGGGAAAGAGCCAAGCCCCCTGAGGAAAGGCGCCCTTGTCCTTTCCCATCTCCCCAGGGCTCCAGGGGACCCCGGCCCAGGGGGCCTCCTAGGAAATCACGTCTGGGCGGGACCGGCATTCTGCAAAGGAGGGGAGAAACCCCAGCACTCCCCTCTTGGGGAGACCCTTGCTCCCGGGGGCATCGGCCACCCAGCCCAGCGGGCGCCCTTGCTGAACTGCTTCTCTGTTGACAGTGGTGGGCTGCGTCCTCCTGCTGATCAGCATCGTCCTGCTGAGTGGGCTCACCTGGCAGCGGAGAAGGTGAGTCCCCTGCTGTCACCAAGCTGAGCCCAGGCCCGCAGGTGGAGCCTGTGCAGGAGGGGCTCATGGGCAGAGATCGCACCCCCAGCCCACCCCACTCTCCTGGTAGCCCGCAGCGCCTCGGGGCCTCGCAGGGGCCCACTGGCCAACCCACACATCCCCAAAGCATCCCACGAGGACTAAAGCACAAGGGAAATGGGGAAAGCAAAGGAAACTAGCATTGCGTGAGTGCCTACTGTATGCCAGGCCTGATGCTTAGCTAATGAGCATTCTCACAACCTGATGTCTCAGAACATTTGAAATAGCTACAGGCTCCCCGACCTGGCAACGCAAACAGGATTGCATGGCCAAGGCCAAAACTACAACCCGAATCTAGAGCCCAAGACCCTCCTCCTCCCACCACTTGGCTAGAACAAAACCAATGGCACCATCCACCTGAGTTTATCTGCCTTGCGCTCTTCACCTACACCTACTGCAGACATTCAGACCAGAACCCCCTTGACAGGGATGTGACCCACCTGTGGCCTTAATTGCATTAATTCAGATTTTCAACCGTAGTTGCAGATTAGAACAACCAGGAGAGGTGGTATTTTTTTTTTTTTAAACCAATGCTTACTCTCCAACCAGAATCCCCGACATCTAGGCCTTTTTTTTTTTTTAAGCTAAGATAAAATTCATCATTCTAACCATTTTAAAGTGCATGATTCAGTGATTTTGGGCAATGCTGTGTATATGCCAACCACCACCTCATTACACATTAGAACATTTCCATCTCCCCAAAAAGAGACCCTGTGCTCCGAATTCCCCATTTCCCCCATTCCCTGGAAACCACAAATCCAGTTCCCATATCTATGGATTTGCCTGTTCTGGACATTTCATGTAAATGGAATCACACAGTATGTGAGCTTGCGTGGCTGAGACACTGGTATTTCTCTGAAGCTCCCCAGAGGCACTGAATACGTACGCATTCAGTTTTGACAACTCTGCACTAGGGCCAGGGATTCTCAAACTTGAGGGGGCTTGTTAACCAGAATCTCCTGGATGGCTTGTTAAAACACGGACTTCCAGGCCTTACCTCCAGGGTTTCTGATTCAGCAGGTCTGGGGTGGAGCCTGAAAATCCACATTTCTAACACATCCTGAGGTCATATTGATTCTACTGTTCCAGGCACCAAACTTTGAGAACCATTGCCCTACCCAGACAGTATTAAGGACCAAGAGAGAGTGAATTCATTTCACACACAGGCCAGTTTCTCCCTCCCTTTAGAGAGTGGAGTGTAGACCTACTGTGTCCCTCTCCTGACTGTTGAGGACATCCCTAAAGCCTTCCACCGCCCCCCGCAAGTGTGCAGTCTAACCAGCCTTGATATAAACTTCCCAGGAAGATCCTGAGAAGACACAGATTCACCGCCCCCCCAAACCCAGAGTTCTTAGATCCTATTGTTAGCCCAGACAGAGGAAAACCAGCATATTTCCTTTATCATTATATTGATCGTCAGGCCCACAATGTTCTCCTCATCTGCCTCATGTGAATTAAAAAGTGCAAATTATTGCGGTGCAGAGGATCAGCCCCTGAACGTTGTTATATTAGGAACTGCTCATATACACACCTGACAGTCTCCCAACTTCTCTGCGTGATTAGCTGATTCCTGAGATGTTATTTTAAGGTAATGCGAGATGAGCTATGTCAAGTACTCAGCGCATTGTGGGAACCTGACACATGGCCAATCCCTGACAAGACTTAATACCTATCAAGGAAATTTTCATTTGGTGGCTTAAAGATTAGAAGCCGTCAGACCCAAAGGGAGGAGGCTGTTTGGAAGTGGTTAACGTTTGGAACTTATGTTCTGACATAACGAACAGCCTTAAACTATATGAGTTCCTACAAGTGCTCCCAGAATTAGTCTTCCTTCTAGGAGCCTCACTTTTACTTGGTCCTCAAACTAAGTCCTTCTGCCACCAGCTCTAGCTTGTGCAGAAAGCCTTCCTAGAATCTAATTTCATCTAATGGTGCCCTCTTGTGACCACACAAAAATCCTACATTTGACCTGTTTTTTGTTTTTTGTTTTTGGACGAATTACTAGGAGCCAGTGATAAACAACAGCTGTTGGCTTACCCCGGCTCCTGACAGCCAAAATTTTCCTAAATTTTTAGGAATTTTGTGAACTGTTTTTAGGCATCGTCGTTATCAAAAATTCAGTATATAAACATAACTAAATAGATTATATTAGAAACGAAGGTAACAGATGCTCAAAATTAACCACTTTCTAATTATTTTACTATTTTATTTGTTCCCAGGGTTAGTTTATATCTAGTTGTATCTGTATCAAGGAATTGCAATATGATGGTGTGCTACTGCATATTCCTTCCCAACTCTATAATAAGTTATGTCACATTGATAGCTCGAAACTGGGCGTGTTGGGCGTTTTTACACCTGCAAATAAGCCAACTTTCTCAAAGCTGGTTGTTAATCACTTACCAGCATACCATTCTCACAGCCTTGCCCCATGGGAGCTCTAAGCAAAGTATGAAGTAATCAGATATCCCTGTGGACTCAGTAAGAGCTGGAGAAGGCCTACGACTGTACTGTCCAATACAGTAGCCACTGGCCACATGTGGATATTTAAGTTTAAACTTAAATATATTAAATAAAATTTAAAATTCAGTTCATCAGTTACACTAGCCACATGTCAAGTGTTCAATAGCCACACATGGCTACCTTACTGGACAACACAGCTACATATCATTTCTATCATCAGAAAGTTCTTATAGTACAGTGCTGGCTAGAAACCAGGAGCTTCCAACTCATGAAAATCACTTAGCACAGTCAGTATTCTCATCCCTTTTCTGCACCTCCATATGGCTCAAAAAATTCATAGAATATATATTCTGTAGATGTTGGTCAAAGGGCACAAGCTCCGAATTAGAAAATGAGTAAGTTCTGGGGAATCTAATGCTCAGCATAGTGATTATAGTCAACGATACCATGTTATATACTTCAAAGTTGCTAAGAGACTAGATCTTAAATGTTCTCATCACAAAAAAAATGATAATTATGTGACATGATGGCAGTGTTTGCCAACGCTATGGCGGTAATTACATTGCAATACATAAATACATTAAAATATTATGAACAGGTTGTATACCATAGACTTACACAATATTACATGTCAATCTTATCTCAATTTAAAAAAAAACACTATCACAAGAATATCTGCTATGTGCCAAGTACTTGCCAGGAGCCCAAAGATGAATACACATCGTCCTGGCTCTAAGGAGCTTCCAGACCCATAGAGGAGAAGAGGAAAAAAAATAAAGATTTCAAATACAAATTGTTAAAGCCCAAATTGAGGTGTTATAGGAGCAAAGAGAAAGGACACTTAATCCTACATGGGTGTGGCAACAAGGCTTTTAGAGTTGACAATGCCTAAGACCAGGAGATGGCTGTTAAGGCGTGGGAGCATGGGGTGTGAAGGGGCATGACAATGTCTGGGGGAAGTCAAGAAGTTCTGAACACTAGGAGGTGAGGTGCATGGGCAGCAGTGACAGTGGTGCTATAGGGATGGACAGTGACCACGTTATGGAAGACCAAGTCATATGGAGGGACTTGGACCCTATCCTAAGGGCAACAGAAGCTTTCCCTTGGGACATAGAGTAGCACTGGCCCTTCGGACAGTCTGTCTACAACAGAGCTAGTTTTAAGGGACAAAGTAACCATGGTGGCAGTTATGATGTAATAAATCCACAAGAGAGACAACATGAGCATGAGCTAGGTCAGTGGGTACACATTAAAAAGAGGAAAAGAATCAAGAAATACATAAATGGGGTTCATATGAGCGGGATTTGCCAGCTGATTGACAGTAAGGGTTAAGGAAGATAGATGGCCCAGAGATGACCCCAAATTTTTGACTATGACAATCTATGGAACCCCTTAGCCACTCTACACTAGGATGAAATGCAAACAGTAGAACACCTTTTGGAGGATCAACCCCTAAGCAGAACCCATGCTACGTTCACTGAGACCCACTCAGCCTCCACACCTGTGACCACCCAGCCCTGGAATTGACAAGGAAACGGAAGAGCTTCCTTGGGCTCTTTCTCAGATCTATTCAATGCACATTGATTGAATCATTATGCTGTAGGAACCATGGGGCAGCCAGTCTGGGCCTCTGGAGGCATGGGGAGGCCTTGGGGTCAGATTTCAGCATGTGGGAAGGTAACAGGATCCAGGGATGGAATTTTAAGTTAGCTAGTGAATAGAGGTTTATGATGAATGCTCTACCCACAATGGTTTAGGGTGGGGATCACATTTTTTTCTTGGTGAAGTATTACACCTATGACTATGACTGAGCTATATCACTACAGGAGGAAGAGTAGAACAATCTAGAAAACCAAGAGTGGTAAGAAGCCAAGAAGAGCTCACAGAAGTCATGGAGCACAAGAAAAATCAAGGAAGTCAAATGCTCACCCAAGAGACCTCTCCTAAGATCTTTTGGGTTTTGGAAAAGTCTGATGTCACATGCTGAAACACCAGGCAACTGCAACCTCATTACAAAACCAGCTCTATAGTATCAATGAGTGAACCCTACCTGCTTCTAAGCAGCAGTTCCAAGGTCAATGGAGGAACAGGAAGGAGTAGCCAGAAGTGTAGGTCTTATTTTCATGTCTACATGGTCACTCAAGCTTGAACAGCATGGCACTCTCTGCACACCATAGATGGTCTAAAGAGAAGTAGCTTCATGTTAATTTCATCCTAACTTCCCCGTTTAGAAATCCCAAGGAAAACTCTAGGATGAATGTAAATAGACACACATACACACACACATACACACTCCCTACCTATGTAATTGGACCCTGTCCCATGATCAACCCAGATCCTTTCCCAGCTTCTGGTTGATTAGCCCCTTCTCCCAACCACATTCCTTAATGAATGCCTTTTAAGTAGAACTCTGAACTGGCAACTCCGAACCTTTTCATCCTCAGTGCAGTCCTCTAAACTAGCCCCTTCCCACTTAACCTTCAATTTGAATCTCTAAACAGAAGCCATTGCAGAGTAATCTTTGGGTAACACTGGCAGAGGACAACCAAGCTTCTGTGGATCACAGAGCTTCTATATTTAAAAGGATTTTACTGGAGGTATGCTGGGAAAAGAAGGGTTAACTAAGTCCCAGGTGATGAACTGTACCTAGTAAAAAGCTCTACCTTGTACATTACTAATACATCCATTTACGAGTTAGTCTCCGTGGGATTGCTATAAATGATGCTCTGGATTTGGTCTGCACGAATCTGAGGTTCACAGGCACATCATGTGCGAACACCTACGTTTCCTAATCAATGTCATAAAAGAACTGATAAGAGATCAAAACATTCAATGTTTATGGGTGGAAGGAAAGAAGGAAATGGGGAGCAGGGAGAGAGATCACACTGGCAGGATGTAACATGGCAAAAGTCATCCATTAGCAGGCCTCAAACTGTTAGCAAAACAGTTAGCAGGTCAAATCACCTGGAGGCCCTGTTAGACCACAGCAGGCTGGACCCATCTCCAGGGTCTCTGAGTCAGCAGGTCTGGGGCTGGGCGGGGGGTATATACACTTGGAAGGAGTTCCAGGTGATGCTGCTGAGGCTGCTCTGGAGACCACACTTGGAGAACCACTGGATTCTACTTCTCCATGCCCACCCACTCTCAAAAATCACCTGAGTAAGGAGATTAAAGAAAGGTTTAAACCAGCCAGTTTTCATTTCTGAAAGGCCAGAAAAGTGTTATTTAAAAAGTGGGCAGGTGTCAGCAGGTCCATATCCAGATTAAAGTACGATTTTCTGCCCTTTCTATGAGTAGTAACCAAGTATAATCCAGATTCCAGTGTCCACATTCCATCCCTCCCCCAAGTATATGTTTTCTGAGTTGAGGGGCAACTCAGATTAAGGGAAAAAAATTTTTTAATGTTACTTATCTTGAGTAAAATTGAATTGAATTATCATTACTCATTTTTTTTTGTCGGGGGAGACCTATTTTTTAGGGAGGAAATCAGATTTTTTAAATAATAATTAAGATGTTATTTACCTTTTTCACATTCATTCTAAGTGTATGAGTTTTCCAGAAACTACATGATATGTGATGATGTCATCACTCTGATGTTAACATATAATGAGTTTATTACTGTTGTTTGTAAGAGAACTAATAAATAATATTTTTAAAATTTCTTGTTTTTAGTCTCTAAGTGTGATTAAATAGCACTAGCTATAACTACACAAATAAAAGCAGACAAAAGCTCTTTGGGATTCTCAATGCTCTTTTTTTTCTTTCCCTTAGATACAGCAGTAGGGTGAGGGGTAGCCAGAAAAGGGAGCGGGAGAGAGCAAGAATCCTAAGCAGATTCCATGCTGCATGCTGGGACCCCAATGTCAGGGCTCAATCCCACGACCCTGAGATCATGACCTGAGTGAAAATCAAAAGTTAGACACTCAACCGACCGAGCCACCCAGAAGCCCCTCCTCAATACTTTTTAAGAAAGTATAGAGGTCCTGGCTAATAGTTAACAAACACATCATCATTGGTCATTCCAGAAATGTAAAACAAAACCACAATGAGATACCACTTCATATCCATTAAGGTGACTTTCAGCAAAAGGAAAATAACAAATATGGACAAGGATGTGGAGAAATAGGAATTCTTGTACATTGCTGGCGGAAATGTAACATGGTATGGACACCATGGAAAACAGATTGGTGGTTCCTCAAAACATTAAACATACAATTACCACATGACCCAGCAATTCCAAGAGAAACCCAAGGGACATGAAAACCTAGAAACTCGAACATGACTATTTATAACAGCATGACAGCCAAACATCCAAGAGGTGGCAACAACCCAAGTGCCCATCAGTGAATAAATCATGAGCAAATTGTGGTCTATCCATTCACTGCAATATTATTCATCCATAAAAATGAATAAAGTATTGATAAAGTATTGATACATGGTACAATGTGGATGAGCTTCAGAAACATTATGCTAAGTGAAAGAACCAGAACCCAGACATAAAAAGTCACATGCTGTGTGATTCCTTTTATATGATATGTCCTATGCAGATCCATAGTCAGAAAGTATATTAGCGGTTAACCAGGGCTGGGAGAGTGATTATTTAACATTTTACACCTCAACCTTGTGAAAACACTAAATGCCACTGAGGTGTACACTTTTTATGGTTATGTGAATTTCACCTCAATTAAAAGAAACAAAAAGAGAGGTCCTGAGACCCAAATATTTGAGCATAGCTGGTTCCATTCATGATTCTCAAAGAACAGTCCTCAGCTCACAACAAAGGGCCAAGGTCTGCCTGAAGTTTTCATGGTGACTTACTTTCTAGTATTCTATTAAGTAAGCTATTATGAGACCCTGAATTTTTTTAAACTAAAATTACCATATTACTAAAGTTTCCTAAAGACTCTGATTCAGGATTCTATCGAGAATGTGAAATTTGCATAGCTTCCGGGAAGAATGCTGTTATTGATGAACTGCTAGAATGATCTTGGGTTGGTTTTAGTTTTCAATTGCTGATACTCTTTCAACTAAATCATAAATTACCATCAGTACTTTTCACATAGGGGTAGTGTCTGATGGCCCTCAACACACACTCATCATAATCAATTTAATTTGTTTTGGGTTTTCTGACTTACTCATCATATGCAGTGATACATCTTTGCCTCAACTGTGTGGCTGGCTTATGATTTTCAAATAACTAGGCTTTAAAGCACAAGTGTGTTCTTGTTTAAAAGTAATTGTTATGACTTTCAGTTTCCAGTCTGACATAGAAAGAACTTGGAAGCCACTTTCTCCCCTCCTACCAACAAGAAAAGCCCCAAACAAACTGAAAATCAATGACTCTTCAGAGAATTGAAATCTGGGCAGACCTTTACCCCCAAATTGAAGAGACAGGTGGGTATGATGAATCAGAGTACTGGAGCAGAAGCCCAGAAGCAGACGCTGGATGAGTGCTAAAATGACGAATTGCTGGAGGATCAGTGTGGACAAGTCTAAGACCAAAAACTCAAGTCACAGGAGCCCTACCCTTTCATGAGTTTTACCTCTAGAAAGTGTCTGAGGTTCTCACGGGAAAGATCAGAGAAAAATCCCCTCATGGTTTCATAGCGGGGAGGGGGAAAGGAACCATTTTGAAATGATTTACCAAAGGCCTGTCCTCAGGAGAAACTATTTTCCTAACTATCTTGGGTTTTACTAGAACCTAACCAATCAGAGAGAACAGAAATACCCAACCTTGACCTTCCTCCCACAGACGAAAGGGAATTATGTGACTCCAACTCCTCTAGCCATCTATCCTACCTGAGGGGTGCAAGGAAAGAAGTACTGCCACAGGCTTCTCCCAGTCTAATGGGTTCAGATGAGGCCTCATGTCTGTACTGTGGCCAGAGGATGTAAGGTGATGCTTATTTCCTTAAGCCTGAACCATATTCCCCACATCTAGAACCAAGAGTAGAACCTTCCCTCATTGACTGCTTGGAGTAGACAGAAAAGTAAGACCCAAACAAAAAGTAGGTCATTACCAAGAGAAGGGAGAATAGAGGTAGGGAAGCAACCACGATTTTCTTTGTGCTTTTGCGTCCAGCCAGTATTATTCTACTAAGGAATAGCCTAAATGTTCACATCAGTCATACCACTATAAAGCTTAGGAAGGGCTAGGTCAGGGATCCCTGGGTGGCGCAGCGGTTTAGCGCCTGCCTTTGGCCCAGGGCGCGATCCTGGAGACCCGGGATCAAATCCCACGTCGGGCTCCTGGTGCATGGAGCCTGCTTCTCCCTCTGCCTGTGTCTCTGCCTCTCTCTCTCTCTCTCTCTCTGTGTGTGACTATTATAAATAAATAAATAAAAATAAATTAATTAATTAAAAAAAAAGGAAGGGCTAGGTCGAAGCTCGGTCATGGGAGCAAAAGAGAAAATGTGGACAACAGATTTGTAGCATATGGGAGTTTTTAAGGATGTAGAAAGGCTCTTTTGATGTTCTTCCACTGACGATGTGCTAGGCTGTGCAAGTGAAATGGAGACTCAGGATCTGAGCCGCAGCACTAGAGGGCTGGAATGAATGGAGCAGAATGTTGAGTGAAGGTTGGTCAAGGTCATCAAGAAGATGTGATTGCCAGTTGACAAGTGATTGGAGGCTTCGCCCCTCCTCCCGTGTTCTTGGAATGTGGGTTCTGCTCCACATTCCCTCTCCCAGAGGCTGCTCCAAGGACACAGCCTTGGAGATATTGATGTAGTGTTGACAACATCTGCAAGAGGTACAGGACTGTCCCAGTGAGGGCTTCTTTATAAACTTTTAGGATGCAGTAGGTAGGTGTGGGGTAGGTGTCGTCTTGCTGCCACCCAAGCTACATC